CGCGTTAGTGCTGCCTAAATTACACAAACATTCCGTCCATAATCAACTTATGCTCATAAGGCACGGGACACTGGAATACAACAAATGCTCTTTTGATAATTTATCTAAGCTATTTGTCCAAGCAATATTACACATTGTTTTTTGCTTCCTCCTTTTAGGGGCGAAACTCCTTATAGCGGCACCCGTTCGTCCCCCGTTAGTATGTAACAAGTATAACATTTTGACCTCCAAGGTGGTGCCGGTGAGAGACTTCTTCTGTGCGTTGTTGAACAATAAAAAATAGTGCTCAATGTACGTGTCAATAGCTGATAATGGGGAATGAGAGACAGCAGCATTCGGCTTTTAGTTAACGCGCAGGCTGCGATCACCATTAGCAGCCATTGGCATGTACATTGAGCACTATCTGACAAGAAGGGGTTGCTACGTTATACTCGCTGGGTGTAACCTCCTTAGCTTTAGAAAGGTTTAGCGAGCGTTGAGCCGCAGTACCATGAATACTATGAACTTGTATATACCATGAATGAACTCGAGGTGGTTAAAAATGGGAAGTAGATACGAAGCGCAAGCCGTAAGAAAGTAAAAGCCGAATTCTCCGCCTCTCATTTCCCATTAGCAGCCATTGGCATGTACATTGAGCACTATCTGACTGAAAAAATTGCCCGCAGCTTTCCTCGGGGGAACACTGAGGAGGATGCGGAGCATATAATTGGTTAACGGGGTGTTAAAGTGCGACTTACTTGGGTCGATGGCTAAATTGGTTAACGTGGTTGTGAAATGGGGTGTTAAATTGCGACTTACTTGGGTCGATGGCTAAATTGGTTAACGTGGTTGTAGGAGGGGGTGTTAAATGAGTGAACACGTACACACGTATGCGAAAGGGCGGCGCTGGTCGAAGGGACGTCGATCATTGTGTTTGTGGATTCGTTGGAATTCATTTCACCGCGACCTTGGACGTCGACGCGCCGTACAAACCAACCGACGAGCGGCAACTGAGCGAGCAAGCGCCGACCTTGAGTATATATACAGCTCGACGGCGCATGCACTGTCAGCTGTTGAATGTTCTCGAAGCGCGACGCCACATGCGCGTCCACTGGAGAATCAGGAGAATTGTAGATGTCGAACGCGGTGTGTAGAGGAGGAAGGGTGCACAGATAGTGGAGGAGTGAAGCGCGCGCGGTGTGTAGAGGAGGAAGGGATGCACAGATGGTGGAAGAGTGGGCGACGGCGCGACGGCGCATGCGCGCGCGTCAGCTGTCGAATGTTCGAGAAGCGGTGCGGACGGCGCGGACGGCGCGGACGGCGCACTACAAGGCGCGAGTATAAGATGCTTCCGCATCTAAAAGTTTGCTACGTCATACTCGCTGGGCGTAACCTCCTTGGTTTTCGAAAGGTTTAGTGAGCGTTCGGCCGCAGTGCCATGAATACAGTGAATTAGTATATACCATGAACTCGAGGTGGCTAAAGGGGGGAAGTGGACCCGAAGCGCAAGCCGTGAGAAAGTGTGCGTGTGCCACCTCTCGTTTAGTCCCTGGAATGTCCGCTGGATGGCGGTGCTTCTATATGGGGAATATATGATGAAAAGATGCGAGATGGTGGTACTTGGAGTGTTGAATAGATGGACGAACGGACACATAGACAGATGCATGGATGGACGCATGAACGGACGCAGGCGCGGATGCATGGACGAACGCAGGGACGGACGCACGAACAGACGCACGCACGGACGGGTGGATGGACGCATGGACGGTCACACTGACGGACGCATGGACGGACGGAAGCAAGAACGAATGGACGGACGAATTCTTCGCCCCACTCTCCATCATTCACTCCGTGGATATGCTGCCATTTTTTTTTTTCACCACGAGCGAAATGCAGCCGGGGTCAGTGCGTTAGTTTGGACACTATATTAATGGTTTCCACTACCTAGTATTGGTCTCAAATTAAATGTTGCACACTCAGCCGTGTCACTTTTATCTGACTCGTAGGTCACAGAAACCAGTTCCGACCGCGGTGGCCCCATTTTCGGTGGAGCTGAAAACTATTCAGGCCCGTGTGCTTAGGTTTAGACGGACGTTAAAGAACCCCAGCTGGCCGAAATTTCGAAAGCCTTCCCCTACAGAATTTCTCTTAGTCACATCTTGCTTATAGGTTGTTGAACCCCAACAATTATCATTTTCATAATTGTGCATATATAGTCAAACATGTGAGAGGTTCCACCCATGTTCTCCCGAATAAATCGCGATTTCATTGATTGCGCAAAGGGCCGATCGATCGTTGAGGCCGTACAGCCTTAAGGGTGAGCAATTCAATTTTATGTTAGAGATACTTTAACAGGAGATGAATTTTTCGCTACTGTTGTTTCCTTAGAATGACTTCGTGTCTAATGAAATGAAACTGAGGTGCTTCGCCAGCTGGATATTTTGTATTAACAGGATGCCATTTCTGATCGACCATTGGAATTGAAATCGCATGCAGCTAAGACTTTCGGGACATCAATGTGCTTCGCGCACATGCGCATTGATTCAACATTTTTTTCTCCGATGTGCGCTGGGGACCATCTCACGCTTCATCTCGTTAAACGAAAAGCACCGTTCGATGATTTTCTTGTAAAAGGAACCACCGGCCGGCACGTAAAACATGTACGGCATCGTCATCCCGCAAGCGCACTTCAGTTGTCCCAAAAAATAACGCCGCAGGCGCACAGAAAGCACCACAATCATCATCAGCTCGTGTTGCACCACGCAAGCGTTTCGGAACGTGAACAGAGGCCACATTGGCATCGATTTGCCACGACTTTGGGCAGCGTATGCGAACCTGCCCCATAGCGTGACTGGGAATATTCGTACCCTCTAAGAAGCATCGCAGGAACTTCAGGTCGTGGCTACGCTGTCATAATGAACCTCGAGACATCACTGTTATCAGTTATTTCGTTCGCCCTGTTCTATCACCTAAAACGCCATCTTGGTCCGTTGGAAAGCAGTCCCCGTGCAAGCTATTGATTGATATGTGGGGTTTAACGTCCCAAGCCCGCGGGCCGCGGGCCGTGCAAGCTATGGGCTTGAGTTTAGTAATGGGGAATTCTGAGTCGCCGTGCTGAACTACGTTTCTGTTCTCACTCCTTAAATTGCCCTTACGAAGATGTGTCACGTTAGAGTGCGTGCATGGCAATTTTTTTTAGATATCACAAATGGTAAGTGGTGCATGCTGACGTTGATTCGTCTTTATTCCTGCGCTTTATATGCAGCTTCTTTCTTCTTTTTTTTCTTTTCAGTGTACGTCGCAGGCCCTATTTAGCGCCAATGGACCAACAGTACTCATTCTCCTCATATTAGCGAATAATTCGCTCCTTCGTGCGACTGAGTTTTTTCTGACGACAATATTTAGGCTGACAACAATTACAGAAAGAAAATAGGCTGATAGTGAAACTTTAACGCTAACATGATTGCAATGTGCGAGACTGGAGCAAATCACGATATAAACAAGCAAACCACGAAATGAATGCTAAACACTGCAGTAGAGGTGCAGTCCGGTAAGTTTGACCACCTGGAGTTCGCTTTACGTGATCTAACATCCCACAATAACGGGTTTCTAGTGTTTCTGCGTCATTGTAGTCCGAAGTCTGGCACCGTCACCACCGCACCACCGAGACATGTGGTCACGCGTTTTATGGTTGAGCTAAGAATTGCAGCGCAACTGAAGCTTTAGCACGGATGGCGACATCTGGGGAGGTATTTTGTAAGAGTAGACGACGCACACTGTCCATTTCTGCGCACTTCGAATTTGATGGCATCCAATAGCCATGGCTACAACCAGCACGGCGTTCCGCCAGCAGTCGAGCTCTGTGCAATCAGGCGGAAAATATGAGAGAATGCATGCGATAAAACATAATAAAATGAACTGCTAGAGGTTACAGAGAGTTGAAAGGCGTTAATCTTGCGATTAGTGACACCTTCTTACAAAACGTATTTACAAGGTCAAGTACAACGGCTCGTACAGGCACGTTTTTCGAGGTGCCTCCTGGTCACGCAAATAGAAGACACGCTTGCCGTTATTCGAAAAGAAAAAAAAATACACAGCAAAACCACTGAGATCCAGAAATCGAAGCTGGCCGTCATTCTGTATGAGTGTCCCACAAATTAAAGACGCCGGCAGGCTGAGCAGTAGTTCCAGTTGCATTCTCGGCCCCGTAAAGTCTCAATGTCTTATGCCGGAAGGTCAGCCAAGACGAACCGTCCAAGGAAGCATGTGAAAAGAAGCACCAGACATCGATTATCACTTGCTTCAAGGGAGTCGTTTATGACATCCCTCTGAGCTGCGGCTGCTGCGACGTAGGTCAAGCTAGACGCTGCTTTAATGATCGCCCGATAGAACATGCCATCTATGTCAAACAAAAACAAGGTAGCAGCTCAATTGCATATCGTGTAATTGCACACTGAATTTTAATGAACTCACCGTCGTCAGAAAGCATTTGCGCAAGCGCACGCGTGAGAACACTGAAACATTCACCATTATCAAGCGGGGTCCTTGTTGCGTTAGTTCTCATGCAGTCAATCCTGACGAAAAAAATAACCTATCTGCGAAGTTCACATCTTCAACAGCCTATAATCCCAAGTCATCTTTTCATAACGTGCATTTTCTTGTCTTTCTTCTGCCTATATGTTTCGGGTTCATGCAATGAACCTTGATGAAAGTGAGCGCCTGTGTTGTGTATAGTCTGATGTTGTCTCACTTCCGCGCTGTTTGCAGTAACGATAAAACACGTCGTGCTTTTGGGACATAAAGCCGCACCAATTAATGTATTATCGCAGGGTTGTGCTTTAGTAAGTACATTCTCTTCGCGAACTTCAGTTGTTGAATAGACCAGTCCTTGCCCTGTGCGTTTTTCCTGTGGCGCCGTAGCATAGTGTTCATTCGTCATATAGTGTTCTCTCTGGCCAAGGAAACCAGACTGCTAAATTGGTTATGTCGAATGTTTCAGAGCGCTGTTACTCCTGTTTCAGGAGGACAAGAATGCACGCAATGTGGTCATCTTCGACCTCGGCGGTGGCACGTTCGACGTGTCCGTGCTCTGCATCGAAGAGGGTACCTTCCAGGTCAAGGCGACGTCGGGCGACACCCACCTGGGTGGCGAGGACTTCGACAGCCGCATGGTGGCTTTCCTGGCACAGGAGTTTCTGCGCAAGCACAAGAAGAACATCGAGGGCGACAAGAAGGCGCTGCGCCGCCTGCGCACCGCCTGCGAGAAGGCCAAGCGTACGCTCTCCTCATGCACGCAGGCCAGGTGAGCTCTGCAGGGAGACAAGTTCTGTTTTATTTATATCTTACTCAAAGATTCTTCTTTAAGCAAGTGGAGTTATACAAAAAATATGTTAAGCATTGTGAATTAAAAAAAACAAATCATTTAACAAGTCTCAAATGTGTACACAATTTCATATGAGCTCGTTTCTTTTTTGTTTGACACAACCATAACAGAAAGGTTGAGGTAGAGGTAGAAATATAAACCAAGGAAGAATGCGCAAATGAAGTCAAGAAGAGCACGGGGGACGCTAATTCTACTATAGGTAGTAAGATGCCAAAAGTAAGCTTGAAGAAAAGGCAACTAGTCCCCAGCAAGGACCGATCCAGCAACGTTCGGATTACGCTCCCGATGCTTTGACCAATTGCACAACGATGGCGGTCGTTTACATATCGGGTATCTATGGGCATGCACACGTGGTAGTGTTATTTAGCACCATGTGTAGTCATATAACAAGTGAAAATATCGGCGAGAAAATACGGAGTATTCACAAATTTAGACAAATAATAAATACAAGAAAAAAACTGACAAGAACGTGCTATAGGGTCATCTAGTACACTGTACCGATATTCACAGTCAAACACAATGAAAAGGAGAGAGTCTTTATTTTTTATTTGTTTTTCAGTATCGCACACCTTCTTCACAATTGCGTTGAATCAGGCAAGTTGGTTGTATGCCGGTTTAAGTGTCGTCTCTAAAAACCAGTAACATGATGTATAGGTGATGACGATTGATATTTGGGGTTTAACGTCGCAAAGCACCCATATGATTATGAGAGACGCCATGGTGGAGGGCTCTGGAAATTTCGACTACCTGATGTCCATTAACATGCACCCAAATCTGAACACACGGGGCTACAATTAACATTTCCGTCTCCACAGGAAATGCAGCTGCCACAGTCGGGATTCAATCCCTAGACCTGCGGGTCAGCAGCTGAGTACCTTAGCTCTAGACCACCACGGCGGGGTGCGAATCATCTTTTAGTGAGCTTCGGCAAATTTGAGCGTAAAAGTAGTAGGTTGTTCATAGCCGCCTACGACTTTTAGCTCTCCTGGCCGTCTCGAAGGTGGTATCGATACCAAATTGGTATGGCATAGCATGACTTTACGACGAGAATAAATGATTAGTCATAACATAAAAATCATTGTAAGTACGTCATGAATGTTTTGATTTACATTTAATGGTCTTTCATGCTCTTGCAGTGGTTTCGTTCACATGATATTTTGCATAACGGGTATGGTATGACATGAGTGCATGGCAAATAGAAGACATAATGGAGGCGGAAATGTTGTAGGCCCTTGTGCTCAGATTTGGGTGCCCGTCAAAGAACCCCAGGTGGTCAAAATTTCCAGAGCCCTCCACTACGGCGTCTCTCATAATCATATGGTGGTTTTGGGACGTTAAACCCCACATATCAATCAATCAATCAATCAATCAATAGAATAGATAGACACTAACGTGGAAATTAGGATATGCATGTCTTGGTTTTCATGTTATGGCTAGTCATGACTACACGTCGCGCTCATGGTGCGCGCACGGTCGTTTCACTAGCTTCACATATACCAAATTTGGTATTACACGACATGAATGGATTGTGAAAGTACATGACTGGTGCAAACAGGATAATCATGATATGTGTGTCACGTAAAACATTACTACCTGCTACGCTCATAGTTCACTCGCAGCCGTTTCGCTAGCTACACATATCACAAAGTTTCGTAACACTTGACGTAATAGACGACAAAGGTAAATGACACGTGCAAACATGATAATCATATTATGCGGGTCATGTGAAACATGATCACATGCTATGCTCATAGCGTGCTCGTGCAACCATTTCGCTAGCTGCATGTATCATGTCACGTGATACTAAACTTTTGTATCTCGTGACGTGAATAGATTACGAAGCTAAATGACACAGTCTAAACATAATAAACATGGCATGGAAGTCATGTTCGGCATAATCTACGTCCATCTCGTAAGGTTGCGCTCATTTTAAAGTGACATATGAACCTTCCTCATTCGTGCTTCGCATATTGTCGATTCCCACAGTACGTGGGAACTGCTAACTTCTTTTGACACTAAGAAATAAGACGGAACCAAATGAATAATGGTATACTGGAGCCCGTTTTGAAACTCTGCAGTTCATAATTGTTCTTCGCTGTTGGCCAGCCTCAATCGCTAATGATACGCTCCGCCTATGGACTGCATCAGACTGCCTCTTTAAAAAAATCATGATAGTAAAACGCTTATGTACCTACAAGCCCATATGATGTCAATCTTGATTATAAGCTGTCAGAACTGTGCCAGAATTGTCACAAACATGAAACTAAAAAATATATACAAGACGGACAAAAATACAGCCCCCGCTTAGATCGTTCATCATGGAAATGCAATTACATCAACAAATAATGTAATGAGGAAGAACCACGGTGGCCAAACCTGGCATCCAGAAGTTAACAATGAACGTTCAAGAAGCAGTATTTTGCTAGTGGCAACGCGAGAAAGACGGTTACAGATAAACAGTGTTGACACACTCCAGAGGTTAGGTTCAGTCGCTGATGATGGAAGCCACAAAAGTAATTAAACAATTAGCCTCCACTTAAGCAGCGCATTTGTAGATCTGGCTTGTGTCCTGCTGTACCAGATACTGTTTACGCAATCTTGTGAGCAGGCGTTTGAATGTGTATGTAAGTGTCTACATGTGTGCGTGCGCGTGGGCATGTTTGCGAATGTGTGGTAGCCGAATGAAGTAAAAGCAATAATAATATTTGCTGGAGTTTGTCCTTCCGAAACCACCTTGTGATGACGATACACACCGTAGTTTGTGACTTTCGATCAGTTTCGACAGCCAGGTGTTTAATAATAGTGCACTTAAATTTAAGTACACTTTTGTTCTTGCATCTCGCTTTCGTAAAAATACGGATGCCATGACTGGGAGTCGAACCCTCGAGAATAGCAGTGTGAGAGCCTACATGCTAATCTACCACAGCGGGTGTGTTGTGCGTGTATGTGCGAGTGCGTTTGTATGCGCACGCGATCATTATTGATTCCCAACACGCAGTGCAAACAATGTACGTCACTGACTCAGATTAAACCACAAAAGGAATAATGAAAACAACCAAGCTTGCACCCTTCAAACGCATCTCGTGTTAGAAAGAGAGAGAGAGAGAGAGATAAATAAAGATGAAAGGCAGGGAGGTTAACCAAGCTTGGCTCGGTTGGCTACCCTACTCGTGTTATATGTTTACTGTAAAGATTACGAACACGCTGTAATGATAGAAATAATTTTTTTACTACGCGAAAAGCCGGAGATGCGTTGCGCAGTGCAAGGAATGGTCAGCCCACAACGGCTCACTGCTTGCGCGCGCTTCTTCCTCCTGTCCTCCGGTTCGGCGGACTCCTGTCGTGTCGCAATTTCTCCGGGTCGAGACGAAGCTCTCCGAGCGACTTACGTAGCCTGACTATATAATAACGCTTCAGTCGTGCAGCGTGCGGTGTTTGGGTTTGACGTGACGACCGCTTGTCAGAGGTCATTTTGGCGATGACGAGCTCCACGTCACTCAAACACATCACTATGACGTATGGTCCGCTATACCTGGAAGAAAACTTTCATAAACTTGCATAATCCTTTCTTTCGCACAGGTGTTCAAATCAAAACGAAGTCTCCAATTTCAAAAGTGACAGACCTGTGTCTAGCGTCATAGTGGGTTTTGGCTCGGTGTTGAGATGAAATAGTTCTGCGGCGAGCGAATCGACGAGCTTTCAGTGTGATATAAATGCGAGCCACTGAGAAGTCTTCGTGCGGAGACCAGGGATTCTCAGTGGCGTAGTGAAGGGTTGTAGGGAGGGGGGGGGGGGGGTTCAACTTTTCCTTTGAATTTTTCGCCCCCTCCGCCTATGCCACTTACCCAACTTTTTTTTTTTCATCGCTTCGCGCTTACATGATTAAGGAAGTAAGCGATGCTACTTACTATCGCAATGTCAATGCTAGGCGCTTTTACAACAAAATAATGTCTGCACACAGAAAAAAAAAAACGTGGTGCGGTGTTTCTCAAGGCTTAGCACTCTGTGAGGTTTAGGGCAGGAATCTCGGCTGCGAGTGTTTTAATTGGCTCGGCGACGGGATTAATGCTGACGCGGCGGACATACCTGTATTCGCTGCAACAGATCTCGCCTGAGTCGATCACTCTGATCATTTTCAATAGGCAGAGGTTCATTTTATAGAAATAGCCTGACACCAGTTCTAAGGTCTGATAGGCCTCGTTCAAGCACATTACAGTGCGACTTTTAGCACGTGTGCTAAGATATACTCAAGCTAGAGAATAACATATCTATTGAACATTCGCATGTTATGATAAAATCTAAACACACACACACACACACACACACACTCACGTGCAAGCGCGCCACAGAATATTCGGTTTGTACACCTAACTCGACTTCTGTGCGAGTGTACAATGTATTTGTATATATATTAATTATACCCTAACGTCTAAGGCACTCCGAAGTGTTGTCCAGTGACGAAGGTGCAACACAGGCAAGCGTGAAGGTTAATCACAGCCTAAGAAAAGCCTACTAAAATACTCATCATATTGGCTTATAAATAAAAAGTTGGTGGTCATACACCTAAGGCAGCGTAATGAGAAATGTAGTGTGGGCAGCGTTAGTGAACACAAGCTTTATTGTTCAGCACTGTGGCAAACAGCGCAAGAATAAGAAACATAAAGCTGAAAAAATATACAACTTATATATATATTGATTCGCTTCATCTATTAGATTCGTTACATTGACATGACTAGACGGTCACATTGAGAAAAATCTGCAACTAGCGAAATGACGCAGGACCAGATATGCACAGAATGGATGAACATGGGTAGCCGTGTTATCACGTCAATTACGAGCAATGTACATATAAAATAACCATATTTTTTCACAAGAAATGCAACAGGCTACGTGCAAACAGTGTCTCATGCCTCAATCAG